ATGGGTCGGTGAAAAGAGGGGCAGACAGTACATCCCCCATTCTTGCAGCTCCTTAGTGTTTGTTTCTTCTGCTTGCATACTAGTGGCCCTTACTTCACTGCTTACCTGATTGCTCCTATTTCTTGTCTGAATTGCAGTGGAACATGACTCATAATAATAACATATTCCTAGCATGTGGTGAGGTCAAGTGCTGTGCTTGCTCTTCTACTGGTATTGGTGGCCCTGCTGAAAAATCTTTCTTACCTTCTACAATTTCCCAGCCCAGAGGTCTTTAAAACAGTAGTAAGAGGAATGAGAGACTCAGCCTATTTCTCCAGTCATCAGATAGTCTTCATGTAATCTGTCTCCTTATTTCCTCCAATTTACCTTGGTGTTACCTTGGATCTTTGGTTCAAAGTCAGTGAATTTACACTGGTTAAAACATTTCCCTCGTTTATTTTTCTGCAGTGTGTCCTCCACTGTTTTCCTTTCCACCATCTGCCTGCTACTGGTCGGATATCAGGACTTCTATTAGAGTCCACTGTATGGTTTGACAATTGCTCTGGTGTTTTGGCCCCAGGAGGCATTTTTAAATCTGTCATTCTTTTTTAGCTGAGTTTTAGTCTAATGAAGGATATTAATTCTGAAAGAATGGGAAAAACCAGACAAGCCGCATGAGCCCTGACGTATACGAAACTGTACGTTCTGGAAGGTAGGTAAAGAGGAAACTCTACCATGCTCTTGTCTTGCCCTTCAACTTCTGGAAGTTATTCCTGGGAAAACTTACCACTTTCTGAAATATCTCTATATTTAGCGCTTGCTGTTCCTGCTCTCTTTTCTGTATCAATTGCTTGGAAATGGATATTTAGATAGACTGAGAACTCTGACCTACAAATAAATGCACTAGATTTTGCACAGCTAGAGAAAACTATTTAGCAAGACAGTCAAGAGTCCAGAACTGGTTTTATGTACATGGGTATAACTCCTGTGGAAGTTATTGGGAGTTGCAAATAATTCCTGCAGGCAAAAGTGATGAAGGAATTAGTATTTCTCAGCCTAGGCTAACACAGCAGGCAGGAGAAGCCCAAGAGACCAACTCAAAGTTTGGTGATTTTTTGATATGAAATGCCACTAACTGGACATGTAGGGGGCTGAAAGTCTGCTGGGGACAGATTCTTGTAATCTCATGTTTTTTAGTGAGCATTATACTATTGACCAGGACAGCAAATTATCTGGTCTCATGGTAGAAATTAAGGTGTGGAAATGTTTGCACTGATTCGCCTTTTAAACATTTGTGTGTATAGAAGTCTCTGCGAGCATCTCTGTGCACATGGCTTAGAAGAGTTTTTAAATCAGTGGTGAATAACTGGCAACATAAGGTACCAGACTGAACTCTTCTGCTTACACCAGGTGAGATTGAAAGAGCTAACGGAAGCTGTGGAAAGAATGAGGAAGAAAATTCTGGTTTTGGTTAGTACTTTCCTCCTTTTACCAAAATACGTTCTGACATCCAGGCCTGAGTTTGAACTAGTAACTGCTGCATGACTGCACTAACAGTTTCCAAATAATTTATTTTAAGTGCTCTAGGATACTTGGAGTATAAAAGGTGTCACAGAAAAACAAGTTTCATTTCATTCGTTTGACGTGTTGTTTTTGAGCTTACCATTTTATAATGGAACATAGAGATTTTAAAGTTTACTGGAGGTCTGTATATGCATGTATTTATGAAAAAAACTGTGGTATAGTTAGGGAAGATGGAATATAAATGAAATATTAATCTCAAACCAACAGGTCCTGGCTATTCCTTTGTAAGAGTCAAAATTTTCTAGTTATGATTCCTTTAGCTCCCATTAAAATAGAAACTTGAACACTACATAGGCATTTATGTAATATGTTCCACTATAAGATTACTGCCTAACAATTTAATAAACAGAGGCCAAATTGGAGGGTAGAACTGCTACATTTCATGTTATGGGAGCTTTGCTTTCTTTTTCCATTCACACAGTTGTGTTCTGGAATATAGTTTAAATGTACACACATAAAACACATGTAGGTGTGTGTTGTACATGTATTGACTTAACTTGGACACACAAGGAGTATGCCTTGGACAAAATATATTAATGGTACTAGAGATCTCACCCCCACGCTTTTGTTTTGAAGGTCATGGAGAGCCTGAAGCTATAGATTTAACATTCAAGCACATGGTTCTAAGAAGCTGTTCAGCACTCTCACCTCTGATTGGTTTTGCTGGAAATCCGTATCAATAACATCTGGGCCCTAATTGGCTTTGATGTGGATGATGTATGGTCTTGGAAAGACCGTTGTTCTCTATTAAAATAACCTGGTTGAAACAAAGACTCATGTCTGCCCCAGATTTAAATGGAGAAAGAGAGAGAAAAAAAAAGTTGTACCCAGCCTGTGAGCCAGATGAGTGTTTTAACATGGAGGGTTTGGCATGTCAAGGTTTGCAAAGCATGGAGGAAGTCAGAGGTGAGCAAGGGTTCTGGCTTGTAGCCCAATGGAGCCTCTGTGACCACAGGCAGCTTGCTGGGTCCAACAGGAAAACTGGATGAAAGACAAGAGCTGGTTAGATACCAGATACTGTCACTAAATGGAATTTTCTTAGGAGAGATAAATGCAAACAACTGTGCTGTTACTAAAGGCCTTGTGCACTCCTACCAGAACATTTTCAAGTGAAATGTGAGGCTGACAGTTACATCTCTTAATTGTTTAGTGTGCTGCCACTGGAAATAGTTTTCTGATCTTGGAAATAATGCTACTAGATAGTTCTTTTTTCTTAGTGTTGTGTTTCTCCTTTATGTGAGGATTGACCAGTTTGTTCAATATGGGGGAAGGAGCAGAATATGTTTGAGACACTCATAGAACAAGTTTTGTGTTTTTTTCCTTCTTTGTTGCTAAAGTGGATGACATAGTTTGACATGTGTAGAGAAAAAGATAAAGGCGATGTACATTTGCATTGTCTAAAATGCTGTTTCTGATGGATGTGTGACACAGAAGGAGAGCAAGGATGTAAATAAGGTGGTAGAGCACAACTGTCCTCCTGAACAGAGGAAAGCTCCTAAAGGGAAGAAACACTTTTTATGTGGCAATGTTAGACCCTTCTAGCAATTCTACCGCTGAGGAATCACAACCTGAGTACCTCAGGTGTGCTCAGCTAGAAACATGTACTGGTAGTGGGTCTGTACTCAGAAGCATATTCTCTTCACCCTGCACTCATGCATCTGGTAAGGGTGGCCTAATTGTTTTCAGCACATCTAGGAACTTTTGTTGTTTCCTGGAAGCGTTACGGTGGATGGAAATCCATGTTAAAGAGAATTGACAGATGGATGGGAATTGCTGATTGGAGAGAGGTTGGAAACGGAAAATACAACATGAAATATGTTCCAAGGAATGGGAAGGAAAGGTTGCTTTCTTGCAGCAGGGGATTCAGCAGGCATGTGGGAGGTCTTGATTTCACTGGAGGTGTGAATTTTATTTGGATCTTTTGTGGGATTACCTTCCTTCTCCGTTAGAAGGAATCCTGATGTGATAAATCTTGACATGACATAAAGTGAATTGTGGCAAAGCCAAGGCTGTGCAGTAGAAAATGATCATTCCTAAAGGGAAGAATATTCAAATAATCTTTTTCCATGCTGTTGCTGATATCCCTCAAGCATTTGTGAGGATAAGAAGGTGGAAATACAAGGGGAAATTCTGGCTTTGTAGCAAATAGTTAGAACAAGCACCAGGAGTGCCCTCTTGAGAAAAAACTTTCACTTATTTTTGTAGGTGGATCAGGATTTCAACACAGTGGGGTGTTTTTTTGGGTTTGTGTGTTTGTTTTTTCATTTCTCTTCCAATTTATCATGGTTCTGATTTATAGGAGGTTTTTTGGGTAATACTCACTTTGGAGAAATGCAGTTTCCAAACAGAATGGAAGGAAACAGTGTTTTCCATCCTTCAAATCTTTCTTTACTCACCTCCTAAGACGCTGCTTTGGTCTCTCAGCTGGCTGTCTATCCAAGTTGTCTGCTGGTTTGTGGAAAGAGCAAGCATCAGCACCTGAAGTGTGAGATCTAGTCATTATAAGCATTCTGACTTTGATTAGGTAGTATAAATGATCTATATAAATATAATGAATCATATGCTGTTTTAGTTAAGCAACAGTAACAAGATATTCTGAGGGAGTCTTCCACTTTAAAACAATCTAAAATTTTACTGAAACACAGCTTCTTTAGCTTTCTACATCACAGGAGGTTTTTTTAGGTTGCTTCCTGATGCTTAAGGTATCAGTCAAAACTCCCACCATGATGCAAGCTAGCATGCCAGTTTCTTCTGCAGCAACTATTAAATTCAGTGCAGCATATCAACCATCTGCAGCCCATCTGCTTGCCCTAAGATGTAGACTTCAACCATGAACAGTTAAACCCCACAAATTGTCAGTAATGAAGAGTCCATCATAATCACATAATGTGTCAAACACCTGTGTGAGCAAAACAATGAAGCAATGACTTTCGCAGGAAAGTGGATATAGGATTAGATGGAGCATTATATGGGGCCTGGATGGAATTACTTGTGTTGAACGTTTAGAATAGAAAGTGCAGTCACTGTAGCACTTTGTAATGGAAGGATGGCACATTATTATAACAACCTACATAATGCATATGGTAACAAATGGTTAACATGCCTGGTTAACATGCCTGCCCTTCTATTCCTTGCAGCAAATAATCGACCTGGAAAGTCGCAGAGCAGTACACATCCCATTTGGCAGCAGTTTTCTGAATGAATTGAAAGTGATGCTTAAAACCCAGCAGTTTTTTGCAGGCTTGCCCACAGTCATGCTATGTATATATGCAGACTCACACAGAGCTCCTGCTTTGCTGAATGTCCGTACTTGTTTACAGCCAGAACTGGAGGGATGGTGCAGCACAGCTGCTGTTGTGCAATCTATCCCTGAATAACCAGGATACCCTCAAAGCATTGTGGACTTCTTGTGAATAATCTGCTATGTTGTGCATATTTTTCTCTGCTGGTTGATATGGCATGTGGCTACCCACCTCATTGCTCTCCCAGAAAGGACTCCGTTATCCACATGATGCTGCAAAGAGAGGGAATGAGCTGGGACCACAGGGTACAATTTTATTTGTTATAAATCCTGAGAACCAGTGTTAAGAGTCACTGGACCTCCTACTTCTGGCACAGGAGTGGAATTCTGCATTACTAAAACTACAAGCATGCTTATTTAAGATCTGTCACATGCTATAGAGTGTGTAGTCTGTTTACATGGAGTGTTTCTACCCAGACATGGTGAAGTGTGAAAATTACCAGACAAAATGGTAAAGGAGAGCTATTTTTGTGGAAGGAATTTAAAATAAACAGAGAAAGTGGGAATGAGAATTTGGATGTTAACAGATTGTAGTTTGTGCCCTGGGGATGAGGATTGTGAACTTGATGTAGAAGGGGGTGGGAAATCGTAGAAGGGGGTGGGAAGTCATAGAAGGGTGATGACAAGAAGAATGACCTACACTGAACTTCTGATTTAGGAAGTGAGACAGAAATGGAGCTGCTTGAAGAAATGGAAGTTGCTATGCCCCTGGGAAATGAAAAAAAACATTTAGCAGTTGAAGCAGTAATATTACAGAGTTGATATCAAGAAAGGAAACTGTTTCCCTCCCCTTCTCCTGCTAGGGATTTTCGTTTTACTTGCTTGGTTTTTGTTTTTAATTTGTATTTTTTGTATTTAAATAAAAAAAAATACACTTGCACACACGTATATCTCATTTATTATATTAAAACAAATGTATACTATAATAAAGATTATACACACACTTACAAGCAAAATTCCCCCCAGACTATAGATTCCCATATCTGTGAAGAAAAATTACGTTCTTGTCACTTTCTAAACTGGGAGTGGTAGTAAAGTGGAGTAGGATGTTAATGGCAGTAAGGACATGCAGAAGCCATCCATGTCTCTAATTCTAAATAGATCTGATAGAAACATTATCCTTTTACCAAGATCCAGGAGCCATTGGTCCATACAGAAGTTCAGCAGGACCTCAAACATGGTTTCTTCAGAAACAAACTGTGGATTCAGCAGCATATTGCTGAAAACAAGGTGTTCCAAATAAAAAACAGAAAATTTTGGATGGATTTTTTTTTTAATTATTTTTTAATCTGTTTTTTTTTTTACATTTCCAGACAAATTTGGAAACTCACAGCTGCAAAGGTTAGTAATCTGGGAAAACCATGAATATAAAGAATGCTTTCATTTTCCTTCTCTGCAAGAAAAGTGAATATCCTTTCCATCTTCTCTGCAAGGATACTGTTGAAAACAAGTTGATTTCCAAAAAGTTCTATTCTTAGTTGATAGCTTCAACTCAGGGTGTCTGTGTGTATTTAGCCAAGAAACTGATTTACCCAAAGGTATCAGGATGGATTAATCAATATAGTTATTATCCTATATACATTAATATCATTGCAGTTATGAGTCTGTCACTGCTTTTGTTGTTGGCTTCCTATCTAAAAGTTTTAAATGTGGATGAAAGATTCAGTTTGGACTAGAGGCTGGTAGACAAAGATGCCCTTTTAAAGTGCTGAGCAGATTTTTGGAAGTCCCTGCTCACAGGAGCCTTAATTTTTTTGTTTGTTTTTGTTCTTCAGAGCGTCAGCCTGTGCTAGTTTTGAGTGCATATGTTATGATGTTGTCACTTGTTCACAGCAGGAGTTGGCTACTAATTCAGTTATCTGGTCTCTGAAAAATATCAAACTGTGGTCTCTTTTTTTGTTGAGCACATATGAATGACACCAGCATTAGATATAGGAAGAATTATTTTTCTCCCTAACTTCTGTTGACCTGTTTCGACTATTTGTGCCTCCAGAGGACATCAAAATCAAAGCAAAATTGACAATTTTCACATAGGATTGAGTGAAAGCAATATATTCTTCACTAGTACTTGAGCAAGTTCATTAGTTTGGCTGGGTAGGTGCTGAACCTTGACTGAATTTCAGGTTCACTAAATAAGGTTCATAGATGTCTACCGAGGGTATTCCACTAGTAATGACTTTTAGTCTTTACCAAGCTGAGCAGAATTAAAACCAATAATGCAGCAATTTAGAGAGGAAAGGTTCACATTCCCCTTAAAAGCCATGAGCATTCATTCTCCTTCAACTTGTTTCTAAGGTAAATTTTAAAAGCAGAGCCTATAGACATCATGAAAATGAGTTCATAGCTTTTGTAAGCCATTTATCACGATTTATTGCAGAGTGAAGGTTTTTACTCTTTTGGCTTTTGACATACTTTTTGTAGCTAATTGAAGAGTAAACCTTACTTCTCTTTTTTGCTTTCAGATATTCTCTAAAGAAAAGTTTATCCTGTAACATGATTACAGTATGATCTTACCGTACTGATTCGTTAGGCCTCTGAAATGATATGTCATATTACAGGGATAAAGTGCTGAGTCTGCAGCTGGATTGGATGGAAGCATAAAGAATAAAATCTCTGGAAATTATGTGGGTTAAAAAGAGGAATGAAGCCTTGGGCTCTTGGTCATACCTGGAGCTCTGCGACACTTTGAATCTCCCCCTAGATGTTCTAGTGATCATGAGTAAGATAATTCACAGTATTTTTGTTGCATTATCAAGCAGATATTGATCAACTTGTCTTTAATCTAAAGAAAAATGTAATTTATGGAAATCTTCCATGTGCAAAACAAAACAAAAACCCCTCACTTTTGAGTTGAATGGGTAGATGGTCAAACAGACATCTGGAATCTCTTTTCCTGAAAGCACTGGCAGGACAATACAGAGTAATTATAATGTTTTTGCTTTCCTCTGCTCCTTTTTTTTTTTGCAGGGGATTTTGTGACTTTCCTGGCACAAAATCTGTAACATTTTCTAGAATTAAACAAATCTGAGGCACAGAACAAGAGAAAATGGAAGTTCCTAAACCATCAAGATGAGCAGAAAAAACTGCAGCTCCTGCAGTAATCTCAACACAGAAGAGAGGTCAAGGTAGCTAAACCTTGTCATTCAGAGCTCCAGCCTGAGGAGTGGGAAGGAACAAAGCCCTGGTACTGATAAAACGAGGTACCTCCACAAGACACACCACTGCAATTCTGCTGTTCCAACTTTTCTGCCAGCAAAACAGTTAACAGTGCTAACATTTAATCCATCATCTGTGGTTACATAAGTTAATGCTCCTGAGAAGCAGAAAAGGACTCAAAGGTCTCACAGGTACTGTTTTTGGCTTCCTGTTCCAAACATTCAATTAGTTGCAACTGATTTTGAAAAATTCAGTGGCAGCTGATGAAATGTAAAGATTTCTTTGTAGGAGAGAGAAGGTCTTCTCTACATAAGAAGATGGCACTGACTTGACTATCGTGGCCGCAGCATAGCATATAATAGCACATCAGCTTTCCTTCGTATCATGCAGTAATCAGATCCCATCCCCAAACAGGCTCAGAGACGTACAAAGGAAAGATGATAAGCATTTCATCTAAGATAGAAACATACTGAATTTGTTTCTTTTCCAAGATTTGTGTGTCTAAGTATGTATATGATCTCTGAGTCAATTTGTTTACCTTCTAGGATTGCTCCGATAACATCTGGTAGAATGCAGAGATCTTTCATGCCAATGGACTATACAGTAGGATATAAATATTAACCAGACTGAATATTAACAGGTATTTTCCTCTCCTGTTCTCAATAATGCAGTTGAATTAAAAAAGACAGCCTTAGATGAGTTACCTACTAACTGCTATTCTACTTTGTATTCGTAACTCTTCCCCAATTGCTTCTGCTCTGATGCATTATTGTGTCAAGAAAGTAATATTAACCTATTGCTGCTTCTCTCTACATATTAAGTAGAGTTAAAGAACAATGTTATGGTAATGAGAAAAGGAATTCCCTATTCTGGGAACTAGCAATGTATTAAGAAGGTGGCAGACAGAAATAACTGTTTCTAAAAATACAGTACTTACCTCTTACCATTTTTTAAAACCAGCTCCAGTGTTTCATTTATGCTATGGGATTTGGCAGATGTTAAACTGCAGAGTTTCACTGTATTCAAACAAACATGTCAGTTTTAGGTCAGTGATAGCACAGACACATGCCAAATGGATGAGAATCTGCATTAATTTGAATTCAGTAACAAAATTCCTATTCAATTCAGTAGTGTAGGAGCTTCCTCTTCAGGTAATTTATAAATAAAAAAATTCAAGGCTTGTTGGAGTCTGTCATCAAGCCCATTAATCTTTTTCATCCACTTTCACTACCTGTGCGAGGGCCTTTCCTCAGCTTTATCATGGCTTCAGGCGCAAGCTACATTACTTGGGTTTATTTGAAACAAAGATGTCAAACCCAAAGAGATGCTCGACTTTCTGTTTTTTTCCAGGCACAGAGATATCTTCAACTGCACGCTGTGATTCCTAAGCCTGGCAGTTTTACATGGTTCATATTCTGCTTTGTTACATCTGGCATGGAGGACAAATTAACAGGTACGTGGCTGGAATACCGTGGCGGTCCTTCCCTTGGTATCTCCTGACTTTTGGCCTTACTTCCACAAATGCAATAGATTGTCAGGAAGGAAAATTTACATGCTTTCTCTTTGGGCCCTTCATGTGTTTAAAATTGTGTTTCTGAGGGAGGCCTTTCAGTCAGATTTCTGTGTGACTACATCTTCTGTCATAAGCTTATCTTTGGCCCATGTAGGGATACTCATTAAAGGACAGACCAGTCCATAACTTACAGCCAGTTACGGTTATTTCATAAGTTTTCTTCAATGCCATAACACAGACAAGATGTAAACCTTGGGGAAGTCAGCTCTTTCACAGCCTAGAAGAATCTGAAATATCTTTCCCAGAATGCTAAATCCAAACTTGCGAAACATTCCTTAGTGTTTGTAAGAAATTTTTTCTCACCCTTTTTTCTGACACCAAAGAGGCAGACAGGTTATGGACAGCAGAAACTCAGCTTCTGTTTTGTTTCTTTTTTTTTTTTTTTCAGAAACCACAAAACATCTATGACATTGTCTCAGCCTTTGTCTTTCTCTCTTATACTTTCAGACTGAGACTGTTTCAGTAAGTCCATAATAACACAAAAACTTTATTTCAGATAGATTGTTTCTATTTTCTCATACAGAATCAGTGTCTTGATGACTGATTTTTAATATTGACTCTAATTTTAGGCAAATAACCTCTAAAAAGTAAATGATTTTCAATGATAGACATTAAAGTACTAAATATATTGGTTAGACTTGATACTGAATGATTGGGTGATATGGTTTAGTGTGAGGTGTCCCTGCCCATGGCAGGGGGGTTGGAACTAGATGATCTTAAGGTCCTTTCCAACCCTAACTGTTCTATGATTCTATGATTAGCCCATGAGGTGTTTTCTTTGTATTTGCAATGTTGCTTTGTTTTTAATACAGAATGTAAATATTTCTACTTCACTTGAAATAAAAAAATGGCTAAACTTCTTCTGATGTTATAAAATAAGTTTCAGTCAGTCTTATTGTTTCAATCGAGCCCTCAGACTGGTAGGATATTATTTCTGTACCTCATTGCATCATTATTTTGGTACAATTAAAGCTAGCAGGGTCACTTTAAAATGATAAGATTTAAATACAATGCCAATACTTGTCTAGAAATACTCATATTGAAGGAACTTTTAAGATAATGATATACATAAATCAGAGAATAGGATTATAGCATTTATCAGTCACTTTGGGGAAGTAATTAGAGAAATTTAATGATTTCTATAGCATTGCATATGATTGGATTTTGTTTATTAATGGAAAAAATACTCTTCCAGCAATGTTGTGAGAATTTTAATGAATCTGAGTAGCCAAGACCTTTCAGTATCACTATGTCCTTAGCCTCACACTGCAATATTTTCAGCTCTAACCTGGTAATGAGTCCACACCAATGCCCTCAATCACAACACTCCCATGCTCCTGGCAGTTCAGACCTCAGCTGAATTACTTTTTTACAGGCCCACTTTTAATAGCAACTCAAGGGAAGGACCCTGACAGTAGTGGCTTGGATCTCACATCTAACCAATGACCCAAGCTAACCTCAGGTACTTTGTGAGATCTTGCAAGATCACAGTCCAAGATAAAAGAATAACAGGAGAGGCAAGTTAAAAAAGGTAGCTTATTCTTTTGAGGTCAGCCTCAGCGTAAAAGGTTAACTCTGCTGGTCTGTTTGTAGTATTGATAACCTTGAAAGAAATGTTGATGGAATGAAACCACTTTGTGAAGAGATCTTTGTGTTACCCTGCACCTGGGCTGGAGTTAATACTAATTCTGTTCTGACAGAAATTACTCTGAAGGTTTCATATGGCCTGTTCTGGCTGTCTGCCACCCACTGTGGTTATTAAGCTGAGCTCTGCAGTTTGTTTCTTTATCTCAGGCTGTGTGTGCCCAAGCTTTCCCTGAGCTTTTGTTGTCAGTTTGCGTACATAGATATATTGAGGCCTCAGGACCACTAATACGCAGCGCTGTGGTATGTGTTTTTGTCTTGTTGAATACTTCGTAATTCATCAGTGCTTGTATCTAGCTAGTGAATTTCAAAGACAGTACATCACCTTGTCCCTTAGGAAACCGAATCCTTCCTTTGGGGTTATAAGTGAATACTGCTCTGATGTCATGTCACACAGACACTGAAATATCTCCTGGGTTCAGGCCTCATTTGTCTCTCTTTACATTATCTCAGTACAGCCCTGTGCAAAAAAAATAAAATAAAATAGTAATTGTACTTGATAGTTTATTGCTTGTGAAAGGGCATTCAAGCTTTAGATGGGAAGCTCTTTGTGACGTGCTTCTGGGCAGAAAGGCTTCAGGGTTTCCTTCTGCCTGGCACTGACACGATCCATCCAAGTGTCCTGCCATCCAGTGTCTGATGCTAAAAGGTGACAAAAAAAGCAAGTCATTTCTAACATTTTGAACAAAAATCCTTTTTGTGTGCTAGTTTGGCTTCCAAAGTTTATTTTCCTTTGTATTATCTTTTCAAAGGCTTCTTGTTTGGTCAGCAGAAAGGAAGGGAATTTGCTGAATCATATTACTAAATCTTCTCTCTCTCATAACCATCATGTGATGCTACCCTACCATTTTCAAAGGCAAAGGATTGCTCTTCAGAAAAACCTGTAACTTCAAAAAACTTTAACCTCAAAGACAACCTAGCTGACAAGGATAACGTAGCGGTAGTATGATCAGGACAAGTGACTCCCTCAGACGAAATACAAGCAACAAAACCAAAACTTTCTGCTTGCTGTCAGCGCAGTTGCAACCACACCAGCCTTTCCAGAGCATTGCTCTCTAAAAGCAAGGAAGAAGAAATCAAATCTATGTCTCCAAATTCTGAAGTAGTTTTTAAAAATACTTAGGAGGAATCTAGGGCTGAGCAGCTCCAGGGTTTCCTTCAGTCCAGATGGCCTGACAAAGCGACACATGATTGAATGGATGGGTACTTGGGTGCATGAATGGCTGTTTGAATGGCTGGGGAATTATGTGCTCTCAAGACTTGAGAAAAAGCTGATCTCTAACATTTTAGCCAGGCAAATTTATCTACTTCAAGCTAGCGCGTAACCTGTGCTAATTAAGCAGTATAATGTCTCCTGATCGGTAGGCAGTCATCTACAGCAATTCTGCTGCGCTTTCTGTTTTGGGGGGCAGATAATACTTCATCCATTAACTGCTAGCTGGGAATGACATTGAAACTTTAGGAAAAATTCAAATGCATTTTTTTTGGTTTCTTCCCTGCCACTAAATAAAAAATATATTTTCTGACTCTAAAGAAAAAAAGGATGGTCAGCTATATCTGTGGCACATGTCCCAGAAATCAACAGTACAATAGAAGATTAAAGTTGCTCTTTTGGTTTAGAGACATCCCAGATCTTGGGGGGAAAAAGCTTGGGACCTTGTTTTGCTAGATTCTAAGTGTATTGAATTTTTCAACG